TGCACATAGTCCCACGCCCTAGAGGCGGCTGTTTCCCTCAGAAGTCATGCGTGTGAGTTACCCTTCATAGCACAGGCCTGGCCCTCGGCATCGGGAGCAACATAGGTGTCTAATGAACATTTGTGGTCATGAACGGCAGTTCAGTAAAGAGTTGGAAGATATTTGGTTTTCTACCTAGCGTTTAGATTAGAAAGTTAAGCAGGAAAGCTGTGGAGTTAGGCCTCCTAGATTCATTAACCAGCTATACCACACGGCCCGGGTGTTCTTCCAGAGCTGTGCCTGTTTCTTCTTCTTTAAGAAGAACTGTGCATGTGGTTTCCGTTCCAGGGTGACTGTGAGGATTAAATGAGGCCCCCGGTAGCCAGCAAAGATTTGTTCTTGTTCGCGGCTGTTGCGTTAGTTCTGACTGGGCAGCCCCATGCCTCTAAAGGGTTTTCAAGGCTGGGTGTGACCTTTCCAAGGTCATCGCTAGTCCTGTCTCTTGAGGTGCCTCTGGGTGGACTCAAACCATCCTCCTTGCACTAATATCAGACCCTTCACCACTGCTGCCACCCAGGGACTCCCGGCAAAGACTGAGGGTTCCATGAATGTTAGCCAGTGCCGTTACCGAGAAGATGAAATGTTTCCCCAAAGCTATAATAATAGAAGCCTTTCTTGTCTCTTCCTAATGTAAAATTCCAAACGGTAAGCTACAGCGCTGCGGTATTGCTTTTAGAATTTAAAACGTCTTTAGACCCACCTCCACATCCTTACATAATGACTCCTATCCGATTAGTTATTTTTACGTGAACTTGGTGGTATTTTTTGTTTGAAATGCTTTGTACCCTGAAGTGCTATGAAAAGCCTGCTCACTGAGTGAAGTCAGGTGAGTCACAACAGGGCAAATGGGGTGTGATCCCACTTACATGAATCCCTAGACCAGGCGAATGCTGAGGCCAGACTCTCTTAGTGGTTCCCTGAGGCAGCAGGGAGTGGTAAGAGGAAATCATTGTTTAGGAAGCAGTGAATGTCTGGTAGAAGTGATGACATTGTGACATTGGCTATCGGCGATGGTTACACAGTGTAATTTGTGTGGTCACTGTCCCTTAGCTATCTATATAAAAATGTGGGATTGGTAAATGCTGTGTTAAGTATATTTTGCCACCATTTTTTAAAAAGTACCTCTCATAGAGCATCAAGCCAAGCTTGAAAGTCCTCCTCCCAAGATCTTGCCTGAAGACTTTTGCCTGCTTGACACACACTACAAGTTGGGAAATTGATGGGTATACCCTGATGCAACCCGCCTCAGTGTCAGGCAGCTGGCCAGCCAAGGCGCTGTTAGTTATTCCTGAGAGGGGCTGTTGTCCTTGCAAATATTTTGTTCATTGGTTCTTTCATGGGCAATTGCACGGAGTAACAAAAAACACCTACTCGACTTACAGTTTGGCAGAAACAGTAGCTTATGTTTTCTAGAAACAAAATTAGAAGCAGACTCCCTGGACCAATGTGTAAGTCAAAATAATATAAACCACGATGCCCCTCAGCAAGTAAGGGGAAGAATATTGTTTCGGTCGAGGCGCCCTGGACGAGGAGAAGAGGGAGGGGAAGGTCTGTATTCAGGCACCGTGTTTCATAGAGATGGAAGGGCGAGCTGATTTTCTCTCTCATTTTGTCCTTTCCACTTAGAAAGGGAAAACGAGTATCTTGTAGGACTCCAA